TGTGCCACAAATAATTAATAAAAAAAATGAGTAGCTAATAAACTTAATTAAACAAATTAATGTTACCGATTGATGAATGCGATAAAGAAATTAGCCTCTTCTAATAAAAGTTTCTTGTTACAGAATTGCAATTGTCATATAGGATGACACTTCAAAATTTATTGAGAGTTGAAGAGTTTAAGAGAGAGAGAGAAGAGAGAGAGAGAGAGAGAATAATTTAAGAGATTTATTTTGAAAAATGAAGGATATTTATAGTAGTTTGAAATAGTGAAGTAAATTTATAAATAAATATATATATATAATATATATTACTGTTTGAATTATGACCGTCTTTTACTAATTTATGATTGTTTGATTTTTTTTTTTTTTCGTTCAATGAATGAAGAGTGAGTTGAGTGATTGAGATGCAACAAAATAGGCTAGTAGGGAGCAAGATAGGCTGCAGGCAGCAAACTGTTTGAATTTTATTTATTTATTTTCATTCAATTGCAATTTCAAATTGCAAGCAAAGTGAAGGAGGGTGTCAAGCGATGATGTGATAATGCAAAGGGTGGGTTGGGCGGAGCACAAAGAGGGGGTCTAGAATTATTATATATATAATGTATATATATAATTCATTCATTGTAAGGAAATGACCTTAATGTTATGTTATTTTGTTTTTGTTTTTATTTTTTATTTTTATTAGATCAATCTTTTTATTTATGTTATTTGTTATATTTTTTAAATTATTTAATTGTTACAAGTTGTTTTTTATTTTTTATTTTTAAAATTTAACTATTGGTAGACAGAGGGCTAAGTGAAAATAGGCCGGGCCGGGCTGCCCTGCAAGATCTAAATTTTTTGGGCCAAGCCAACTTCAAAAATAGAGGCCGAGAGCCTAATTACGCGGGCCACCTTAAATCTCAAACAGATTTCAAACTGTCCAAAATCTGGAGTTATTTTTACACCCCTAACCACCGAGTGCCCTCTATCCATCAACCGTTGGCAACTCGGGCTCCTCAGTCACCCCGACTTCAAATAAAAGCCGAGGCCTAATCAAAGCCGGGCCACTCTAATCTCAAGCAGATTTCAAACCGCCCAAAAGTCCCGAGTTATTTTTTACACCCTACCCACCGAGTGCCCTTTATCCATCAACCGTTGGCAACTCCGTCTCCTCAACTCACTCGCTCACTCACACTCACTCCCTTAACTGGTTTTTTCCCGGGCATTTTTCCACACAACATTCCGAACCTAACCCCACTCCATGCTCACTAAATTCATGCTCCGACCTCACTCTCTCCCTTTCTCCTTTCTATCTGCACCCTTCTTCTCCCCAACCTCCTCCTCTCTCCAAACCCCTCTCTCTCCTCACCACCACCACCACCGCCGCCGCTGCCGCCATAGACCAATCCTTCTCCTATTGGCCCCTCCCTCCACAAAGGCCTCAAATTCCCCCACCATCACCACTTCCAAGAAGAAGAACAAGAAGTAGAAGACGACGACGACGACCTAATCGACAGAGAGAGCTTCGCTCGCGTCTACGACGTCTCAGCCCTTCGAGTCCCCTCCGAACATTGCTTATCTCTCTCTTTTCACCTTTCTACTTTTCTACACATCTTTTCGTAAAAAGATAAAAAGTATATTTTTTTAGGATACCTCAAACCAACCCTTAATGTCCAACCTCCTAATCAATTATATTTTATCCAGAAAATTGACTCAAAAAAAAAAAGAAAATTAAACACTTTAAACTTAAACCTCGAACCTTAACCACAATCAACCACCCACCCTACGTTAAAGGTTGGCGCTGTTTGGGAAGCACCAAATAAGGCTATTATAGCCTATTTTGACAAATTAGCCTAAAAGCAACACTGTTGCAACCTTTTTCAAAAAAAAAAAAAAAAAAAAAATTCTGCACAGCCGGCAGTGTAGGCTGTGCCTACACTGTCAGCTACAACCTTTGTCCCATCAATAATTAAATTACCATTTTACCCTTTGATATCAATTTTTAAAAATATATTTTTAGGGATAAATTTGTCATTTTAAATTTAAACATCATTTCAACACACTTTCCAATACAACAACTCAACTAAAAATTCATCCCATCTTTCCAAACACAAAACTAAAATAGCCTACTAAAATAGCCAAAAAGCCAAATAGCCTACTAAAATAGCCACTTCCCAAACGAAGCCTATATTATTTAGATGTTTGTTGTAGAGTTTTGTTAAAATATTTTTAGGAATTTTATATTTTTGGAATATGTTGATTAATTGTTTGGTTTCCTAATTTGATTAAGGCTACAATGGTTGAGTCTATATTTGTGTTGCCAGGGTCTTATGTAAAGGCAGAAATGTAGTAGATTGAGAGATATTATAAAAAAACAGTTTTGTTAGCAACTGTTAGATAGATTGATATAAATTTTTGGCCCATTTCCTAATGGCTTAGGCTTTTGGGAAAATTGGTAACTTAACAGCAACCTTTCTATGTGACTGTGCCTCTTCTCCTCGTACATGGTCCATTATTAGATTAATTTATTGTCTGTTTATGGTAGTTATGTCGCAATTCATTTGTCTGGACCATAGAAAGCTTGTCCATTGATAGCCATTGATATGGATCTCTTTTACAAAAAAGAAAAACCATGTATTATGGATTTAGTATGTAGGTGGTCTTGTGATCACGAAAGTATCCACACGCATGGGCTATATGGCTGCAAATTTTTAACTCTGTCAGATACTATGTGATGCAGACTGTAATTAAATCCTAGTTACTTGCGAATGAAGAATTTTGTCTGGCTGTGAGTTCACTACTGCTGGTTAGTCCTTGACATGTATGCTTTGACATCCTAAATTAATTCCTTCCATTGCTTCATTCATGTAGAGAGAGAGAGAGAGAGAGAGGTCATTACAGGGTTGGTCTTCCCAATGTGGGTTTCTGGGAGGGGTGGACTGGATACCTTTCAATTTATCCAATACTCGCATGCTTGTTCTATGTTTTATAGTGTGGTAGAATGCACATGTTTCGATTCAATTCCAAATGATTGATTTTCAGTTTTCTTGTTTTGGTGACAATATATCAACTATTCAAAACATACTCTGCAGTTGGTGTTAAATGAGAGTGGGAGGGAGGATACGACATCAACTTTTGAGCTTGTGAGATGCAAGCTGACTTTGTTTTATAATTACTGGCAGATGAATGAGGTAATAAACCTGAACAATATCATTTCTAAGCATGTTTCTGTAATCTTCTTGTGTCTGCATGCCTTCTTCTTGTGTCATTCTTTTTTGTTGCTTTATGTTTCTCTGAATCTGTTTGCCTGCTATTCTTCTTCACAATTTTAACCTTGTTGCTTTTTTCATCTTTAAAATTATGAACGTGTTCATCTCAATTTGAAATTTAGTTGGGCTATTGCTTTTTTGCTTGAATACTTTTGGCATGTTTGCGATTCAGAATTGTTTAGAGCAGAGTAGGTAATATAAAAACAACTCATTAAGTAAGGATTAAATCGTGCTCTCCTTGCTAGCTTAACACAACCCTTATAAAAGGAGGAACAAATAAAATCATTGTTTGCACTCCTGTACATATGATAGGTTGTTGAAACAGTTGATGGAATCTTTTGGAAATAGGGATGTAAAAAGAATTATTATAAATTTGTAAGTATGTTGTTGAAGAGGTTACCATCAATCACAAAATTTACATTGGCCAGTCTTGGCATTTTTGGTGATACAAGATTTTAAACTGATAGATCGTAATCAATTTTGATATTTGTGACATGAACTTGTGATTACTTTTTAACATGGGATAGTAGATACTCCATTTCATAATTATGACATCTACTAGTTAAGTACTAAATAATGGAGGCCTCCTGTCTAGTGCACACTTGGACTTGCAGTTATCCCTTTCGTTCCTCCTCCCCCTTCTTGTTCCCCTTGGGGTTCGTATATCCTCCATTTTCATACTTTCTTTTTCATCCTTGATGTGTTCGTTGCAGATTTTAGAGGCCTTGCTACCTAACAGTATGATTGTTCCTTCAGCTTTTGAAACAGTTGGGCACATTGCTCATCTGAACCTGAGGGATGAACATCTTCCATACAAGAAGCTTATTGCAGAGGTACATTGTTTTTAGAAATATTATCACTGTTTTTGCAATGTCATGAAATTAAGTAGGCATTATATGTGTTCTCATAAACTGTCTCTAACGGCCAGAGGTGGTTTTTGTTATCAGGTAGTCTTGGATAAGAACAAGCCAAAGATACAAACAGTTGTCAATAAGATTGATGCCATTCATAATGATTATAGGACGATGCAGCTTGAAGTTTTAGCTGGAAATCGTTCCCTTGTGACTATAGTTGTTGAGAATGGACTGCGTTTTCATGTTGATTTGGCAACAGTGTAGGTTCTTTTTTCTTGCAATCTGGTGTAGTATAACCAGAATTTAATTGCACAATTATCATATCATCACCCAACACTCATAAGTCCACAATCTTTCCAAGTATTACATGTTTGCTCGTTTGCATTGCAACAACTTAACTAAGTTTTCTGAGGCCCCTGCATCTATGTTCTCTGTAAATATGAATTGTAGCACCCACATTTGTCTCACTGTTACATAGAAGTCAAGATGATCCTGTCATTTAAGGTGTGTTTTTTTGTTGTACTAATTTGAAATTGTTGATCAATCAACTTCAGGGCTTAACACACCAGAAGTTTTGACTGCTCAACATTCATTTCTACGGATTAGAATTCACATTATTTCCACTTGATCACTTATTTGAGTTTTTAATTCTTAATGTGTGGTAAAATATCTGTTGGATCCTTATCCGTCACGGTTGAAGAATGCAAACTAGGTGAAACTTGAAAGAAAACAGGAATTTCCTGATGCAATAATGTGAGCATATTTTTGGAGACCGTGCACATAATTTTATGCTCTCAATACTGTTGGAGACATCTGGACTATTGTTCATCGACACGAGATTGAGTCATGATACAATTGCTAGTGAATTGTGCGGAATAGCATACATGGGTAGTAGCTTTGTCTTTAGATCCTATATCATATAGGCAAAACAAAATTGGAGGTTCAAAGGTTTAAATTATGAGGAGCTGGTGCACCACATTTTGCAGTGTTGAAGTAGGCTACCATAACTCTTGATGATTAACGTTTGTTGATTTTGACTGACAGCCAACTGCTTCTGGTTAATGTTTAGGCATTTTGAATTATGACGTGATTTACTCTCAGTAAAAATATTATGCAATTAGGTGTCTAATACTAAACTTATTCACACTTGAAGATGAATTTGAGGATTTTTAGGTTGTTTTGCTTTGAAGACTCAATTTAGGCACATCCAGAATACGTTCCTCCCTGTATGTTTTAACCAGAAGCCAAAATTTTATTGAAGGCTATAACTATTGGTGCACGAGTTCTCTCAATATATTTTAAACTCTACTGTTCATCATGTAGAACGTTAATTGTCTTTCTAAGAAGTCTAGAAACAAGGATCTAAAACAAAAGAATAATGATTTTTATTTTTTATTTTTTTTTGTTTTTAATAATAATTGGATTTAATTTTTCCTATTGTTTTATGCAGGTATTGGAATTCAAGGCTAGCAACTGAGAGGCAGAGGCTTCTGAATTGCTTCACATGTTATGATGTTGTTTGTATGTTTATGTTCGCTCAGTTGCATCATATTTTCTGCTGTTTGCCACTAGCATACTGCAGTCTCTGACTCCGTAGTATATACTTTTTTCCTCTTCACTATTGACAGGTGATGTTTTTGCTGGGGTTGGTCCTATAGCTATATCTGCAGCAAGAAAAGTGAAACATGTATTTGCTAATGATTTAAACCCCTTTGCGGTTGAATATCTGGAAAGGAATTGTGTCCTCAACAAACTTGATAGGAAGATAGAAGTATGAATTTAGCTTGTCATGCAATTATTGTTTAATGGTTTTCATAGCTTCATTTTTCAATTTAGAAAGTGTCTATATTTATATATCTGCAACTTGCATTCGACAGAGTTGTATCATGTGGGCTTAATTATTTTGTTTTTGTATGTGTAGGTTTTTAACATGGATGGAAGGAGGTTCATTGATGCTATGTTTGCAAGTCAAAAAGCTCAATCCATCACACAAGTGGTTATGAATTTGCCAAATGACGCTGCAGAGTATCTAGGTATGTAATTATTCTGATAGAGCATAAATTCTCTTCTTCTTTCAGCAGTGAAGTTTTGTATTCTGAAATTAAATATTGAGAGTTGCTCGTATAGCTTTTCCATTTTACTGTGCTACCATTTTAAATGCTACTTACTAGGTGATGTATTGTGAAGGATTTAGATGGTAATAATTACTTATTGAGTTCTATCCTTGGACTTAGGAATTGATGTATTAAATTTTAAATAGGACATATGATGTGATATAGTTTCAAGGTGGCTAACGTTTCTTGTGAATTTATCATGGGACAGAAGCCCTGGGAATAGCATTACAACATTAGGTATAGGATTCTTATTCTGGCTAGCTGAGTAAGGTACTTTGCTATGGCCTACTTTGGCTCTGGTTAACTCCTTCATAATCACTTTGAAAAAAGGATTTTTGAGATGTGTTTATTGGGGACCTCTTATGAGGAAGTAAGATTATATTCAGTGAACAGTCTTCATCATGCATTTCTCTTAGGATTGTAAAAAGTTCAGTTCCATCAGCATGTGGCCCTTGGATGGCAACAGTTTAAAGATTCAAAGAAATCGCTATGATCAGTAATTTAGTCATTCAAAATTATTATCTGAATGTCATATAGAAAAGAGTGGAGAAGGTGTTGGAGTTATACAAGGAATGGAGTAGATAATGGAAACCACAGAATATGTTGCGATTTTCAAAATTGCAGACATTAGCATTCAATTGTTCTCTCTCTCAATATTTTGCCCAATTATTGCAGATGTATTCAGGGGAATATTTAGAACAAAGCCTAAGCAGAGAGAAATTACCTTGCCAAAGATCCATGTTTATGGATTCTCGAAAGCCCAAGATCCGGAGTTCGATTTTCATGAGGTATGTTTCCTCTCACAATATCATCATTAACTTTGGCCTTTCCCCGTGGACTTAGATATAGGGCTCTGATTTTGTCTCTTTCTTTCCCTCCTGATTGTGTACCATTTCATTCTGTGTTGGAACTCGTAATGCAGCGGATAAGAATTGCATTATCAGAAGTGGCATTTGAGGTAGAAATGCATAGAGTCCGCCTTGTTGCTCCGGGAAAGTGGATGTTGTGTGCATCATTCACTCTCCCCGAGAGTGTGGCATTCGCAAAAGCAACGGCAAATATGTAAGTTACTTGGATTTGAAAGATGGAAGTGATCCTGAATTTTGTTATATAACATTTTCAATTAATAAATTGAAATTATATTCTTTCAATTTTTATTAAGGTGACAATGTAGCAATTTTTATGAAGTTTTTCATTGTGATATCTGATTAAAAAATGAAAAATGTAAAATAAACAACAATGATGATGAGTACTAATAGCTGGAAAAACAATAGAGCCTTTGTTCAATTGCTGACCAGAAAGCTATAAAACCTTAAGCTCAAATTATCTTATCAGTTTCTTCAGGCATTCGTGTTTCATGTTTGATCAATCCCCAATGCCCAAGTGAGTACAAATCTATAATTGGTGTATGTATATAATCATAAATGATCTTGGCCAGCAAAGAAGCTTGAGGTTGATTACCCTCCAAAAAAAAAATTAAAAAAATTAAGATTTGGGTCGTCTTACATTGTAAAAAATCAAAACATGAGTAGTTTACCCATAGGTCATGCTCGCAAATAGGATAAGATGAGATAAGTCATTCAGCAACAAGACATGATGCGATATTTGGAGACAAAAAACTAGCCATTTTGTGATGAAACTCTTATTTTGGGATAACTTAGTCCCACCTGGAAGACGTTAATCTTACATGTGCATGACAAACGAGCCCCGAAATAACTTATCCTGAGTCATTAATTGTGAACCAAAAATACCTGATAATTTCTATATCAAAATAATCTTATCCCACTATTTATCATATGTGAAACATGGTAGAATAAATTTTAGCTTCTAGATAATATAGGCCTCTCTCATGTTAATGCTAAATGTTCACCAATTAAAAAAATGAAGTAGCAGAATCCCCTGTAGGCTGTGATCCCCAGAGAGGGGCCAGACATCTGTGGGACATATATCTTTGCTTTTGCAGGGGCAGAGGGACCTCTGAGGTTTTGTTATTTTCCATTTTTTTGGTGGTACAAACACATAAAGGAACAGTCTGACAGAGACTCCTTTTTGTTTGTTTGTATACATCCATAGTAGAAGAAGAAGAAGAAGGAGAAGAAGCAGCCAAATGTACGATCTTATAGAAACAAATAGTAGTAAATAGTAAATTGTTATTAAAGAGACCACTTGGATATACATGTGATAATAGTTCTCTCTGAATTCTCTGAAAGGCCTAGATTTATTCTGGGCGCTGCCTTATTTGATATTGTTTGCCCATAAAATGTTTGCTTGGGGTGTGTAGAACTTGTACGAGATAGTGGTCCAGAAGGTGTGAATGCTAAGATGTGTGTGTGTGTGTGTGTGTGTGTGTGTGAGAGAGAGAGAGAGAGAGAGAGAGAGAGAGAGAGAGAGAGAGGCATCAATGCAGTAGTGCCTGGAGGAGATTACTGTATAGATATGAATCTGAACTGAGATATGCTCTCTCTCTCTAAATCTGTATGTAGGTAGAAGAACAGACAAGAGGGGAAGAGGGGGTTGGGGTGATATTTGGCAAGTTTGCTAGAAGTAGATAAGGTTTCACAGAAGTTGCATAAAGCCGAACTAACAGTTACTCACATACCCTGGTTTCCTTTTAGCAACCACTAGGAGCCAACTATCTATTTTTTTATTTTATATTTTATAAGGAAAATGATATTTTACTATTGGATAAATTTTGTTATCTTTTGTTATTGTATCTCATTTATAAATTCATATGATAAATGTCATGTGTATACATGACATTTTCTCGTGTGAATTTACAAAGAAGGTGAAAAAAAAATAAAAATAAATAGTAAAGCTGACCTTGTGGTTTATAGCAACCTGTAGATTAATTTTGGTGGGTTTGATTACTTTGTGATTGCAATTGAGAAAGCATTTAGCATTATTGGGGCTAATTTCATTTGTTTGTTTCAGTATAACGCTTAATGCTATTTGGTTGGAAGAATTGGAAAGAGAAAGGGTAAAAATAGGTGAAATGTAAATAAAATATATCTACATTTCATATAATTTTACACATATTCATTTTAAAACTTTCTTCAAATTTATCAACTAAAAACAACGTGAAAGAATGTACTTTTTTTTGTGTGTGTCCATTATGAAATATATTTTTCATTAACTTTATTTTTTTTTATTGTACCAAATACTAAAAAGAATGTAATTTTCTTTCCTTTTTTTTTTTGTTCATCGATACAATTAGAGCATGATACAGTATAATCCTGTAGACCATTTTGGTTAGACCCATGGTGTTGCTGTGTCTATGGCGCGAGAAAACTATTCAAGACCAGACAACACAAGGCATGGAGAGTAGAACTACCAGCACTTGTGAAATGGTCCCCAACCCCTTATCTCTCTCTCTCTCTCTCTCTCTCTCTCTTACCGATAGGAATCAAAACACTTTCTAGGTGGTGGAGGTGGATGAGTGAGAGAGAGAGAGAGAGAGAATCAGTGGGAAGGAGATCATCAATTTTGTATTTGCACAAATCCCAATCATTCTTCTGCAGGGCATGATCTCCCTCCCCAGCAACCCAGTATCTACCCATGTCTGCCTATAACCAGCACCCACACAAAACACCCATCTCTCCTCTCGAAAAATTTGAGACTCGTAACTGTGTGTTTGGTTGAGAGATTCAAAAAATTAAAAATAAAAAGTAGATAAAATATGAATAAAATATATCTATATTTTATTTAGTTTTACACATTTTTTCTCTTTCTATTTTCAAATCTTTTTCTAAATCTACTAACCAACACAATGAAAAAGATTTATTAAATGTTTCACAATAGAATTAACGTGCCAATAATATAGTGGAAAAATTTTAAGATTGAAACAATTTGTATCCATCTTTGTTAAGTAGTTAAAAAAAATAATAAAAAAAAAAGCTCACGGAAAATGTTTTGTAATTTTTCAATATGTCAACATAGTATATATAATTTTATGAGATTGCTTAATAATTTGAAATACTTACGCTCGTAATCTTTATAATTTGTCCATTTTGTCATTTGGGTCCCTGTATAATTCTAATTGCATCAATTTTATGTTTAAATTTTTATTATATAATTTTAATTTAGCCTAATTGGTGTGTTTTTCTACAATTTAAATTAAAATCGAAAGGTAAAAATAGTCTACTAACTCTCTTCAATGTGATTTAGTCGTCCGGGTTCAATTTGAATAGATTATTTTATGTTTAATTTGTGTCATATTTCTTAACAATGTTATCAATTTTGCGTAAGTAGGCACATTATGAGAAACAAAATTCATAAAATTATAATTATGAAGACAAAATTACAAAACGAAAATGACAGTCAAATTATCAAGATCATATCAATTTTACCAGAGATCTTATGGTGTGCATACCATATATACCCTATCACAAAAATTATAATTTTATTATAAAATTTCATAATATTAACTACAAAATACATAATTTCGCTACAAATTAATATAATAAAATGTTTAAAATTTTGTAATTGATATTGCAAAAATTTGTGGTTTAGTTACAATATGTTTTATTACATTAATTTGTGATGAAATTATACATTTTGTGATTAATGTTATAAAATTTTGTAATAAAATTATGAAAAATGTTTGGTAACTCAAAATTTTGTGGCTCAAATGACTGAAATCTGTCAAAACGACGTCGTTTTACACTTATTTATACTCAAAACGACGTCGTTTTAAGTGATTTGAGCCATTTGAGTCACAAAATTTTGAATTACCTAGCATTATTGATTATGGTATGCACCCCTAAAGGGATGCAAATGTGGTTTAGTTACAATATTTTTTATTACATCAATTTGTGAGGAAATTATATATTTTGTGATTAATATTATAAAATTTTGTAATAAAATTATATATTTTGTAATATGATGAATATTGTACGCACCCCTAATTTTACCCTAGTAATTTTTCTTTACCAAAAAGCATATCAGACGTAGCACTCTGGTGTTTCAGAAAATTGAGTTAACTTTTTATAAAATTGAGTTTTATTTATTTATTTTATTTATAGTCAATAAATTATTTTATTTTTTAGATGTACCTAATTTAGGTAAACTTAAAAAGTATAATATTTATAAAAAAACTTTTAAAAATTCATCAAATACAAAAAAAAATATAAAAATTCAGTATATTTTTGTATTGTTGTGTATTTTTTAAAATTTTAAAATATTTTTCACAAATATTTTATTTTTTAAATGTATCTAAGTTATGTATATCTATAAAATAAAAATATTTATTTAAAATATTAAAAAAATTATTTAAAACAAAAAAATACAAAAAGTAAAAAACTTAAGGCTGTGTTTGGAAAGGTTTTGGAACTTTAGTTTCACCCTTTAGTTTGCATATGACGTTTGTTTGTAACTTTCAGTTTTCAGCTTTCAAAAATTAATTCCATACTCACTTTTGAAAACTTAGTCGAAGGCAAGAAAATTTGGACTAACCGATCGTCCTACCGGTTGATTGGAACAGTAATTTTTTTTTTTAACAATTGACACATGTTAATTTTTATATATTCGAAAAAAATATTTTCTGAATTTTTAAAATTTTTTTATGAACTTTAATAGAATTTTGACTTGTGTGTTTGGTTATGAGTTGTAAGTTTTTGTATCAAATATCATATGTCATATCAAAAATTTCTTACTCAATTCAAAACTTTTTTCAAAACAACAATGATTCATCCCCCTTTTTCCTTTGACCCCTTCTCTCTCTCATTGGTTACCTTTTCTTTTTCTTTTTCTTTTTCTTTTTTTTCCAGCTCCTCCAATCACCCCCTGCCACGTGGCAAAGGGGGGGTGAGGGGGTGACCCCCAAAAGGGGGTCCCAAGCATTATTCTTTTCAAAACTCTTTCACCAAACAAATTTTTCACACTTAAATCATAATTCCAAAACTCATTAACTCAAAATACAATTCTTACTCTTAATTCATATTTAGAAAGTTCTACTAAACACTACCTAAATTTTTTAAAAAATCAATTAAAATGAAACAAAAATACCATCCACGTCGATATTTAACCCCAGCCGCCTTATTTACAAACAATAGTGATTGGTACCACTAATTTGGTACCACTAAACCACCACTGGAAAATCAAAAAAAAAAAACAAGGCACAACAAACACTACCCACTGCCACATCATTAGTGGCACCACTAATTTACAAAACAGAGTAAAAACCCAATGTGGATCCCAAAGAATCACCACTAAGCCTTCGTTTGAAATGTGAGTTGATTTTTTAATTTTTTTAATCTGTAGTTAAAAATTTTGTTTGAGATGAATTTTTTTAACTTTTATGAATTTTGTGAGAAAAAAAATAAAATAATTATAT